CTGCCAAAATTTATATATGTGTCCCGGCATGGCCAGGTGGTTAGGGCACTACGATTCGCAATCTGCGTGTCGCGGGTTTGAATCCCTGTCCCACCAAACATGCTGGCGCTTTCAGCCATAGAGTCATTATAATGCGACTGTTAGTCCCACTATTCGTTGGTAAAAGAGTAGCCCAAGAGTTGGCGGTGGGTGGTGGTGACTAGCTGCCTTCCCTCTAGTCTTACACTGCTAAATTAGGGATGGCTAGTGCAGATAGCCATCGTGTAGTTTTGCACGGAATTCAAAACAAACCCCTAGTCTTACTATTCTCACTGATAAATATGAAAAAAGATAATGCATCAACAATCTTAAACATCTCAATCCGATCCCCTCTAACTCTTCTTTTTTCAAGAGAAAACAATTTGAGATATTTCAGCCTCTCCTCGTATGACAACCCCTCCATTCCAGGCATCATTCTAGTAACCCTTCTCTGAACCCTTTCCAACAATTCAATGTCTTTTCTAAGGTAAGGAGCTCAAGACTGAACACATTATTCCAAATGTGGCCTGACCAGTGACCTGTACAATGAAATTATAACCTTTTTAAACTTGTGTACAATATTTGCCCTACCACTAGTAACAGCACACTGCTTGAATGGCTTTAGTGACTGATCGACTATTACACCAAGATCCCTTTCTTTCATGGCACTGTTAAGGTTATTCCCATTCAAATTATGAAAACCCACATGTATTATCTTGCATTTATCATAATTGAAACCCCTCTACCATTTATTTGCCCAACTCACTAAATGATCTAAATCCTCTTGTAGATCAGCAGCATTCTTTTCACAGCTAGCAACACCCAAGGCCTTAATATCATCTGCAAATTTAAATAATTTATTGACTATTCCTTCATCTATGTCATTGATGTAAATCAAAAAGAGCAAAGGTCCTAAGACTGACCCCTGAGGACCCCACTTGTGACACTAATGCAGTTTGACTGAACTCAATTTGCAACAACCCTCTGCTTTCTTCCATCCACCCACTATTGTATCCAATTTGCTAAATTATCCCCCACACCTATAGAGATAATTTATTTTTACAAGCCTTTTATGTGACACCTTGTCAAATGCTTTCTGAAAATCAAGACACACCAAATCTACACCCTTACCCTCATCTACATCAGCAGTAACCTTTTCAAAGAATGTTAAATGACTTTGCATGGCATCTTTTAACAGACTTTCCAAAACTTTTCCCACAACTGATGTAAGACTAATGGGTCTATAATTACTGGGACTATTTTTATCGCCTCCCTTGAAAAGAGGAGTTACATTAGCTAACTTCCAATCCTCTGGCACCTGCCCACTATTAAAGGACTGACAAAAAATAGTAGTAAGTGGCTCACATATCCAATCTTTAACCTCCTTCAAAACTCTTGGAGAAACTTTCCAATTTTTTCTTAACTAACTAAAAATTAATGCAGTCATCTTGTTTGATCTTGTTTCTATTTATCAACTGTTCAAGATGTGGAACACTGCTTAAATCTTTGTTAATAAAAACTGAAGAAAAAGCAAAATTTAATAACCCAGCCATCTCATAATCTTCAAACACTAGCTTTCCTTTATCATCCCTCAAGGGTCCTACCCCCACCCTAACATTTTGTTTACCCTTAATGTATTTAAAGAAATCCTTATTGTTATTTTTTACATATTCAGCCAACCTTTTCTCATACATCCTTTTTGATATTCTAAATTTCTATTTCACCAATTTTCTTGATCTTCTGAATCTCCTGTCATACCAGTCAATTTAAATTTATGATGCTTTTATCTCTTTTTGTAAACCAACCTGTTTTTTTACTTGCAGCCATCTTTCTCTTTCTATAAGGAATATGTTTACCTTGAATATTTAAAAATTTATCTTTAAAACATTTCCATGTCTGATCAATGTCTCCAAATAACTCAGCTGCCCAATTCACAACAGATAATTCTTCTCTCATCCTTTCAAAATTTACTTTTTTGATGTTTGTAACCAAAATATCGTTATTTCTTATCTCCATATGCAGCAAAACATCGAACCTATTAGAGGAATGATGATCACTTGCACCCGGATGATTCCCAATTTCCACCCTCTCGATCATTTCTATATTTGAAGTTAACAATAAACCTAAAATACCATTGTTTCTAGTAAGTTCCTTGACTAATTGGTGAAGAAAGCCATACTGAACAGTTTCCAAAAACCTTTCTCCCTCATGGTTTGACTCTAGAATTTTCCAATCTATATACCTGAAATTAAAATCACCCATAATTATGACTTCATTAACAGCTAAAATCTTAATCTCATTGTAAAGTTTCTCACTAATTTCATCAGTATTGTTTGGTGGTCTGTAACAAATTCCCATTAAAAGTCTTTTCCCTTTATATCAACTAATAGAAACCCAAATAGATTCAATCTCCTTGCTATTATCTTTGATATCCTCAACTTCAACAGGATGTAACTCATATTTTACATATAAAGCAACTCCTCCCCCTCCCATGTATTTCAAAGAAATTTCTGTCATCAAAATCATCTACGTTTAACCATTTTTCAGTTATTCCCATTATATTAAAATCCTACATTCC